CATAGAATTTTATACCCATATAGCGTACGGTAATAATTATTGAAAGAATGGTTTACATTAATAATACAGCACTATACCGTATAGCGGAAAATTTTGGAGGGACTAAAATTTGGCGAATTGCTAAATTTTGGTGATTGGCGGATTTTAATTTGGCGAATTGGTGGCCACATGCATTAAGCATGCGTATAATGGCTCAAAATGGCGGGTTTAATTTTGGCGAATGGCTATCAAAATGCCAAATTCGCCAAATTTAATTCCCTCCAAAATTTCCCGCTATACGGTATTGGTTTAGGGTGTGGCTTATAGTTTGTGGGTGTGGTTTGTATAATACACAGTACAGTATTGAGGAATAGAATAAAGAACAAAATAATACAAAGAAAACGAATACTGAATAATTATTAATGTTTCTTCTGTTATAGGTGGATATACCAGACAATGTTGCTAAGAGATGTTATCATTCTCTCTCAGTTTGGAGTGTGACTCCAACCATTAACTGGATAATTGTGTTTGGAGGAATGAGAGGCATTTTAACAATAAGTGATCCAGCAATTATTGAACTCAGTGAGTACATGAAAGTGTATTGAAAGTGTTTGTATAATTAGTTTCACGAATGGTGAATTTGCAGGATTCTGTGAAGCCAAATTTTCGCGAATTGTTTTGAAGTGCCACCATTTTAAAATAATTTGGAGAGTTAAAATTAATTTTTGCGTGTTCAATTTCACGATTGACCTCTTGTTTATTTATTCCCTCGAAAATTTTTATGTACATGTATAAATTAACAATATAGCCTTTTTAATAGTATTTGATATTATTATAAATGTGCATGTACTTGTACTTGTCATTAATTCAACTATTGTGTTACTGTATAGGATATACTAGTAATAATGATTGGTCTACTAGTATAATACCTCTGGACCAGTATCAAGAGAAACTACAAGAAAGGAGAAGAGAATGGGAAGCCTCTCAACCTGTTCAACCTGAGGATAGAAGAGAAATAGACCGTCTGACACGTGTACTACAAGAAAGGGAAAGGGAACTACAGGAGGAGAGAAGAGAAAAGGAACAAGTTAGAAACAGACTACAGCAACAACTTCAAGGAAGAGAACGACAACTTCAACAAGCACAGCAACAAGGACAAGAAAGAGAGAGGCAAATTCAAGAGGGCAGGGGACGAGAACAGGATCTTCAGAGGCAACTTCAACAAACACAGCAACTTCAATCAAGAGAGAGAGAATCTCAAGAAAGAGAGCGACAGCTTCAAAGGCAAGTAGAAGGTGGCCAGCAAAGAGAACAGGATCTTCAACGACA